GGTCGAATAAAAAATTGGAGGGCCTGGCGTTAAAATTTTTAATTTTATATTTATAATGTTTTGGTCTATTTTAATATATATGTTGTAAAATAAAATTATTTTTTTATTATTACATTTGTTTTTGTTTTTGTTCACAATTTCAATAACATCAATACAGTACAATAAATATGAATACGAAGATATAACAATATGAATATAATACAATAAATATGAATATGAAGAGCTTATCAGTGCTAAGGTTATAAACATTGGCAGATAGCCGTCGGACGCTACCCGCTATTAAATAAGAACTGGATTCTGTATAATACTGTGGATGAAGCGTAAATGGATCCCGGTAAATGCAATATGACCGGGAGATCTTCTCTCGAGTGAAAGAACCGTTAGTTAGATATTCATGAGGATTTTAAGCAATTTATGAAGAGAAGGATGGTTGGGGTGATCAGACAGAAATAAGAAAGCTAAAATAAATAATAATATATATTTTAACATTTGCCGACGTTTCGACCTGAAGTTCAGGCCTTCATTAGGGCTGTTCCAAGAGATTGCTGGAATAGAGTCAAGTGGGTCTCTGATCATCCCCAACCATATTTCTCTTCATTATTCATGAGAGTCAGTCATTAATCCACAACTAAGCAATTTATGTTGTTAGTTCTTTTAAATTCACTAAACCTTTATCATTTTAAGAGGTCAGTAAAATTTTTAAAAAATATGTTTTAGAATAAAAGAGGGCTGGTCTCATGCCGTGATGATTAATGACTTATCTCCCGTGGTGACGCTGCTGATCGCTTCTTTAAGCGCTCTTTACCTCTGGATTGTTGCTATTCTCCTCGAAGCAGACATAGCGATGGGCAGTTTATGGTTATGAGACATAGCTTGTGGCCAAAACATATGTAGATTACAAAATGAATCCATTATAAAAGAGGTTATTTTGTCCACCAACAATAAAAGAGGTTTTAGAGTAGTGATAGAGTAGGGTCTGTATCACTAACTATCCTGGATACATTTCTTTATTTTTTTCCATTTCCAATTTATATGTTTAAAAAAAAAAAAAAAAAGAGAACAGGATGTACATTTTAAAAGGTTTATTAAAGAGATTTTGTCCAAGGCATACTTTAAAGACAACTTGATTCACCTTTTCAGGTCATATACTATGTAGGATGTTTGACCTGAAAAGATTAAGACTCCTGGTATACCTGATCCTAGAGATCAGTCAGCTAGACCTAATTTCTTTTCAATCAGTTCTATGGAATATTTTCTTTCTCTAAAAAATATGAGTTGATCGATGATTCGATGATTCTTCTACGTTCAATGAGTTTGTAGGACTGTTGAAGCAACTTTAGAATCTTAAAATTAAATGAGTTCCAATTATTGATTGTTGTTTAATTGAAGGATCTGAAGGAAATAGGAAATTTCAATGAACATTGCTTGCTAAAACCGCAACTTGTTTATTAGCACAAAAAAATAAATACACTAAAACAAGACGAATAACAATAGTCTTTTTTTTATAATTACCTATGTATGTACAGGGTGCTTTGACTAGTCTTCGTCTCTTACGAATCTTTGTACCATCTCTTATCTAGCAATAATTTAGTGATTTATAAATATATATGTATATATATTTTGTATTCAATTTTTATATCCAAAGGCAGTCAACTTTTACTGTTAAGCGAGGTCTCTTAACAGTAAAATGAAATGCATTTCACACCATGCCCTGTCCATACACTATTTTACATATTAAATAAACAATTTTCACAATTAATTATACTTTTTTTATAAAATCTGGAGGATTTCGACAAGCTGAAAAAACATAAATAAATAATAGGAATGCATGTTTTGATAAAGCTAAATAAATTATTTATATAATATATACATATGTATATATGTATCATAAAATAAATAAAATGCATTTATTACAAACAGCGAAATGTACTCACTTTTTTTATATTAAATCGTTTAAAACATTTCTTGTTCTTTGTTTATGATAAGTCCTTCGGTTTCTTTAATATTATTTTTATTTACAAAAATTCAGTGCTTTAAATTACATTATCTTCTATTCATATTAATTTTTTTTTCTTAAGTAGTCAAACTAATACAATGATATTTAGCAAGGCCAAAATACAGTTTTCTAATTAACTTGGTAAAGATATATTCAATGCTTGACGAATGAGTTGAAATTATTTTTCCAATTTATATAATATAGAGAACTATGTTGTCGCTGGCTAAACGAGTAGGGGAAGCAGAAATAGGCCAGCCTGAAAAACTTTGGCTCACCTTCGAGATTGTCAAACTTAAGACAAACAATATCATTTCATCTCTTTTTAAACCTCACATATCTTTTTTTTATTTTTTAATCTATGTTTTATAAAAATCACTCCTTGCATTTTTAATTGTCCAAGTTTATTAGCCAATAATTAGCTACTCGATGATCATGCGCATAAACTGAGAATATTTTTTGATACAGGAACGGTCAAAAAATGATATTTAAAATTTTTAAAAATATATTGTGAAGTATTTTACATCCAAATAAAGCTTTGGTAGTGCTTTCTTCAAATCAAAATGAGTTCACAGGTTCAATTTAAAATATTTATTAAATTTTACATAATTATATATAAATGATAGTATATTAAAGGCAATCTTGCACATATATTTTCTTTCAATTAGACAGTTTAGAATGTTATCGCTGTGTAGTTTCTTGACAAGCAATAGTTTTATATTAATCAGGCACCTTATGTGCGAATTCTGTTTTCATCCAATAAATAGATAAAATGTTATATTTATTGGTGTATTACTTATTGAAGAAAAATATCTCAATAGTGTTGTACAAATTAATTTGAGTATATGGTATTTATTAGAACAAAAAAAAAAAAAAAAAAAAAAAAAATGGAAAATCAGATATATATTTGAAAGCTTGATTATTTAAAGATACTGTAATGAAAAATGTAGGAAGGCTAAATATCAAGATTAATATATCAAAATGGGAATATCATTAAGTGTGTTTAAGAAAGCTAGTAAGTAATTAATAATTAAATAAAATCTCTAAACCTTGCTATGCAGAACAAAAAGAAGAATTAAATTTATATATATGAAGTTTGTAGTACAGTTCAGAAATAAATAATCATTTTCGGAGAGAGGTTAGTGACCGACTATTTGTATCTGTGAATCAGTCACAATATTAATACTCAGAAAACTTGATCAAATAAAATTTTTAAATTAAAAAAAAAATAATCCATGTTTTAAAGACTTATTTCCTTTCTACGTGGATCTCTGTTAATGCGCATAATCATTCTTAATACTTTTTCAAAACGATTTCGAATAGATCTCACACTCAGACCAATTAGTACACTAAATACATTTCATAAGTACATAAATATACATTGCAGCACTATTTATTGCCTACGTTTATATTTTATAGTTATATATACATACATGTTTAAATGTGTGTCTATGTTATTTTACAATTATTTTTATTGTTTTACGTTTCTACAATAATTTCTAAAAAGAATTCTCATAGTTTTTTAAAAAATAAAATTAGGCAATGTCTTACAAGTTTGTGCTTTTTAGATTGTTTAGAAGAAATATTGCAGCTTATTTCAGAAATTAAAAAAACAAAAAACAATGTACAATTAGTCGTGTTACAACAATAACCTGATTAATAAACACTTGTTCTATCTAAACAATGTGTAACCTTCAATGTAGAAAATAACATTAAAAAACTAATGCAAATACATTAAATAATCTTTTCATTGTTGTATCACAAATAATTTTGTACATTTAAATATTAAATACCATTGAATCTGAACAAATCAAAAACATATTTTATTAGTGTTTGAAATAAATTTGCCACACAGCTTAAACTATCATTTCATCATCGCATCGAAATGAAAACTAGGATATATATATATATATATATATTTTTTAATTTAAGTTTTGAAATGTTAAAACTCTCTCCATACTTTTCCAATGAACCTATAAAATCCTAATTTACAAAACTTTAAATTAAATAAATTTACAAAACATTTGGTTATAATGTGTAAACAATAAACATAATATTTAATATATGTACCCTTAAAAAAAATAAGAAGAATGTTCATTAATATATTTCGTAGATATTGGGATATCATGGGCGTTCATGTAAAAGTCACACTAAGTCTAAATTAAAAAAAAAAATCAGTTTATAAATGAAAAACCATATATTTTCAGTTAGTGAATACTATTAGGTTTTACATACATCAAAAATATATCAGTTAATATATTAAACATTTTAGTAAGTTGTTTTTTAATTAGGCAGAAATTTTAACATAATTTTTTTTTAACTCGTCAAAGTGATTATTCTTGATCTTCATAAGATGTACGAATTGTATACTCAAGATATTGAAAAAAACAAAGAGACTCAATATCAAATAATCTGATAAATCTGTTTTTTAGATGCATGATCTTTACTAATTTATCTATTAATTTTTGTAAAAATAAATAAACTTCACCTAAAACCTTGTTTTTAGTAAGCTGTGTAAACTTCAGTATTAGCAATTTATCTTTTGATAACCAAAGTAAAAAAGAAACTCCCATTATTTCATGTAATAGTTTTCATTTTTAATGTGATCAAAATTGTTTTTAATATAAAAGTATAAACTCCATTAGGATTTGTTCAGATATTAAAGGGTGCTGCTGACCCTTTGATGATATATTACAAACTATATATTTTTTTTAACACACATAGATGTGTATGGGTTGAAAGTGGTGTAATCCAGGAACTAGAAATTTCGAAAACATTAAACTTTTTTTTCTCTTCATAAACCACAAGTGACAACATACAAAAGTCTTTATTTTATTGCATTCACATTCACTTCAGTGTGAGCGATTCATGCAATTATCAGTGATTTTCTAATATAATCGATCATTAAAGAATAAAAAGAAGAATTCAATTTTTAAGATGATTTTTTTATTTAAAATAAAATCTCAATTAATTGAGATTGAATGATTGATTACCTTTCCCTGATACAGATAAATTAAAATAATCTAGCAAGTTTATGTATTTTTTAAAAGAATGGAAATATAATATTACTGGAGGTTTAGACCTTCAAAACATTCTTGTTTTAATTTTATTATTTATCTCATTACAATCATAATTTATATCCCATCTTAAGAACTTAAGAACTCTTATTATTATTGTCAGTGTTTAGGCTAAGATGATATTAAAATATTTTAGTCCAAAATCGGGGAATAATGTAAAAATGGCTCAGTGTCAATTTCATCAAACTCTATTCTCAAATCAGTTGATTCTCTAGACTGATGTTTTTGTTTCTTGTACATGATCATTCATGTTGTTTTTTCAAGAGAAATCAAAAATAGTTTAGAATAAGTGCTGGGTATCACATTTAGGCATTATTCGTATTGTTTTTGTTGCTTGAGAAATGTTGAATTCAAAGGTTCCTGGTACAATTCAAATGAATTTTATGCTCCTTGTTTCATTTTCTTTTGCTTCCTTTAGTTTCTATTTAAAATTGTAATAGGTTAAGGAAAATGTGATTCCCAACATCTGCCATGTTTGTTACTCTGGAAATACCATTGTTTCTGTTTCTGGTCATTTTGAAATGTACAAACTGAGCTTAAGGTTCTGATGATAGAATTATAATTATGAAACATAAAATATTATTATGATTAGATAAATATTATTAAAGAAGAAAACAAGAAATTTTGAATGCCTAAACCTTCTGTACACTCATAAAAACTTCCTATGCAGTTTCAAAATACAGGCAAATTAAAATTATATTAATAAAATGATGTTATACATATAATAATGTGTTTTATTAAAATATTTTCTAATTAATGATAGCCAAATCAATTGGAAACATAATCAAGGTTTTGCTGTTAATTAATTCTTATTCCAGTAAATACAACCACATCTCAACCATACTTCAACAGTTTGCCACAATTAGACTAATACATATTTCATTTATATACTAAAAAAATAATGATACAATCGACGAAATAATTCTTCCATAAATCGCTCAAACTTTTTCCTCACCCTAAACAAGAGGTATCCCTAGTCAGTCTCAAGTCTATAGGAATAAAGAAGCGAAATTTTGTGGCAACTCAATATCCGCCAAAACGACAACTATTTACAAATAATTATTGCCCCTATATTTAAAAAACGAACAACCATTAAAGACTAGACAGCTTGCAGGGAAGAGTTTAAATTGGTCTCTAACGACCTATTCTTACGACTGTCGCCACCGCTAAGAGTAGGAGGATCAGTTGTAAGTGTCGAGGCTGATGTTGGAGGAGCACAATCCCAACCATGGCTGCATGATAACTTCCCATCCTGTAACAAAAAAAAACAAAAAAACTTTATAGCTACGAAATAATAATAAAAATTATTTAATAAATAAGAAAGAAAATCAAAAGCTGGATTAATAGATAATTGATATAATATTATGCATTATGAATGTCTCTAATATTTTTTAAAATTATTTTTAGCAAAGATAAAGTCGTAAACATTTTTAAATATGAGATTAGAATCTGTACAAAATCAATGTAAACTACTAAAAATAGATACTTTATATTTTTGTTTGCTTTATTTTTATATTGAAAGTAATATATTGTACTTCACAAGTGTTCCTTTGTTTTGGTGGATGGGCATAAGATCTCATGATTACACTGTAAATGGCATTCCGAGAATGGCCAAGTGTATCCAAAAGTAGACAGAGGTGATCGATTTCTCAGATAAGGTACCGACATAGGAATGTATATAAATATCTTATTTAACTTATTTTTTCACCTTTAAATTGGTAATTCATTTATTTTATATAAGTATATATATATATATATATATATATATATATATATATATATATATATAAAGGATGGAATGCAATAATGCTAATTTATCAAGAGTTAATAAAAGAAATTAACAAATTTATCCCAAAATACATAATAATTCTTTTATCAATATTAAAAAAAAAATGTATTTACTTATATCAACATATATTTTTGAGATGTTTTGGCCACTAAGCCATTTTCAAACATTTCTTTACACATATCATTTACCACCTGTCTAAAAATTTTGTAAAATTATTTGTCAATATCATCTAGACAAAAAATTTTCATTTTGTCAGTCAGGATATTTTTTGGTGGTTAGTTTTTCTTTTATATGCATATGTAGATTTATCATTTCGGGTCTGCTATTTTCAAATTTTCTACTACATTCAACATTTTCCATACATGTCTCATACCAAAAAAAAAAGTTGACTGACAAAAAGAAAAATTTTTGTCTAGATGATATTGACAAATAATTTTAAAAAATGTTTATACAAGTGGTAAATAATATGTATAAAGGAATGTTTAAAACTGGCCAAGTGGCTAAAACTTTACAAAAATATATGGAAGTTGATATAACTAAATAAAAGTGTTTTGATATTGATAAAAGAATTTTTGTGTTATGTATTTTGGGATGGAAAATAGGTTCATAAATTTGTTAATTAACTGTTAATAAATTATCTTATTTAAATCAAAGTACTGAGAAGAAGGCAAATTGGTCAAGGGATTAGACCTGACAACTTTTAGTTTATCTCAAAGCATTAAGCAAGTTTCAAGACTCTTGGAAGTAACAGGTTGCATGTCAGCTTTAGAAAATTTCTCAGAAATACATTCAAGACATTTTAAGTATTTATTTTGTTGTAGCACTTTTATTCATCATTATGTGTCAGTAGTGAATCTATATTATAATTTTAAGGAGAGTAACACCAGATGTCTCTATTTATAAAGATCTGGGTGGCATGAGACTACTCATATCTCTGAAGGGAGGGTTCGGGCGTGAAACCCTTTGGTGAGTAATGTCACCAAGATCCCGAGTTCACTATACCGTACACACCTCATCACACTACAACATCCCCTCAATACAGACTAAGGTTATCATATACAGTGCACACTCCAGGGCCACCTTCCGGAGGTAGCCTCCCGGATTAGGAGCATCCTGCTCCTGGTCCCTCAATGCTCCCACTGAGCACAGAGAAGGCACCACCAGACTCGGGGAAGAGAGAGGGAGGGGGAGGCTGATCAGGTTGATTAAGTATTTTGGCCTACATAATGTAATTTTTTGTGGGCAGGGTAGCTGAATGGGCAAACACGTGTGCACAGTACCGCCGTTGCCCGGCAACCTGAGATATCAATCAAATGATATAAAAATAATCACGAGTCCCGGTGCCAAGAGAGTCTTTTAAATCCCCTCCCACCTTCCCTGGCCCGGGAAAACCCCGTATAGTCTTAAGAAAGGAAGTTTCTTCAAAGAAATAACTGGACTAATTAATGAAAAATGACACAGGGTCTACTGGAGTCTCTTCAGATACTCCTATCTGAACTAGACACACACCATGTAGACCTTGCTTCAATCCAAGAAGTGTGATGGAAGAGTAAAGGACTTATTGAAAAAACATTTTAAAACTAAATGTAAAAGCTAAGAGGAGCAACATCGTGCATTATGAATGAGATTTTTGTTTAGAGGAAGAGTTTGAGACTGCCATGGACTTCACTGGGAATCAACTACCGCATTTGCATTCTGAGAATCAGAGCCAGAATCCAGCTCTGGCAGAAGTTTCACTTGAAGAGGACAAAGAAACTTTCTTCAATCTTATGGATTGAATTGTAGATGACTGCCCTAAAAATGATATTCAGATAGTCCTAGGAGACTTTAATATTAAAATATGGAGGAATCTATAAACAGACTGATAATAAGGAAATACAGTCTTCATGGAAACGATCACTTATTAATTAGCTTTACAGCATCAAAGGATTTTATGATTGGAAGGGACATCCTAATAAATATCAAGTTCTTTGTATGAAGTTTCTCCCATTTATTGAGCAAGAAACTGGCAGTCAGGGCTTAGAAGGGTAAATCAACAGTGAATAAGATATTTGGACTACGTATGATCCTGGAAAAAGGCATGAACTATAAATTAATCTCTCATTACCTTTGTATAAATTTCTGAAGTGCATACGACAGCATGAAGAGGCCAAAGCTGAATGAAGCCTTGCATAATATTGGAATGCCATCAAATCTCATAAACCTGCTTCAAATTACAATGAATGATGCTAATTGTGCAGTCTCGGTATAATTGGATGAATTCACCAAATTCTTGACCAAGAGACGATTGAGATAGGATGAAGCACTTGCTTGCTTACTGTCTTGCCTTAGAGAGGGTAATGGTAATAATAAGAAGAGCTGGAATAGAAACTACTGGCTCCATTCATGATATGATGGTACAGTTGCTTCGCTACTTGGCCGATTTTGATATTGTAGCTAGATCTCTGAGTGCCTTAAAGGATGCTTTCCTTAGTTTGATGGAAGAATTTGCAGATATGGGGCTGATTACAAAGCAACAATAACCAAAATGCATGAGATCTGGCTCAGTAACAGATAACTTTATTAAGAAACCACTCACAATTAGACTGTTCACATTAAAAAATATCGACCAGTTTATGTATTCCGGCTCTATTAGTTAGCAGTACAAATAAGATGTCTCTTGAGACCGGCCAATAAATACTGATGGCTAAATGCCGTTATTTTGGAGTGAGATAGCATCTTAGCAATCAGAGCAAGTGTCACCTTTATAAAACATTAAACATTAAAGACAGGACCAGAAGTAACCTATGCTTCAGAGAATGGGACCATGACTAGTTCAGAAGAGAAAGAGTTTCTAATCTTCGAAACAATGATTTTATGCCGTACATTTGGACCTATTAAAAGCAAAGGGAACCTTCACTGTAATAGTGAAGCACTATAACAGAGAGGTGTATAAACTGTTTGGAGAATGTCATACATTTTATGAAGTGTGGTCGATTGAGATAAGTAGGCCACATTTTGAGGATGTATGAGGAAGAAACCTCCAAGAAACTATTGTTTGGGAAACAGGATCTGTTGAGGGAAAAAGAAGACTAAGGCAGAAATGGGCAGATGCAGTATTCAGGGATGCTCAGGCCATTTTACACATAAGAAAATGAAGAGAGTCTGCACAAGACCGAGCCACCTGGCAAAGGCTCATTGAGGAGGCCAAGGTCCATTAAAAAAAAAAATCACCCATAGCTAAATTATAAGTTCTATGTATATGAGAAAAATATGTACAATCCTTACAATCATCATAATTCAAACACTGAAGTTTAATGCTGTGACTAATCAGCCAAGATCCATGGATTACGGCTGTTCTAGGTCACTCATACATACAATTTACATATAGTTTCCTCAAGATAATCCTAAATGGAAAACGATTCCAATCAGACACCTTAACATCCTTAGAAACCATATCATGAATTCTGATTAGACTATGAGTATCCTTGTCAATGAGGTACTCTTCAGTGGACAACCACCAGTAATCGAGTGATTACCCATCATGCTAATCATGCTCTACTGTGCTTAACTTCAAATACCTATTGTTTGTGTCCCAGCCCACTTAGTCACCCTTTCCATTGGTTGTAGTGATTCTGTAATAGAATTGATAATAATTAAAATGGGACAAATGTTTCACTAAATGTAAAAAATATTTCCCACTCAATTTTATAGACGGTAAGTAGTTGACTATGTAGATTATTTTAGAAATCCATAATGATGTCCAAAGCTATTTTTAAAAATTGTATAAAGGGTGACATACTTTTAAGATACCTACATAAAACTTTCATGATTCCTAATATAATTTTAGTTAAACATAAAAAAATATATAATAAGGTTCATGTACAGAGAATCACTTCATAATGTTACTGATTCTTGTTGGATGTCTGTGGGTCAGTTACAACTGCCAGCCTGCCTAATAATGGCATAGTGAAGCATTGGACATGAAATTTTTTATAAGATACTATAGTTCTTTAAAAACAACGAATCGTTGATTACTGTGCAATGACTTTCTATCAACATTTTAGAAATGAAGAAATTTATACAAAACAGCAGCCATGTAGAAGAACTATTGTGAAAGTGATAAAGAACATTGAATAGAGAAATTTGATGTGCTTAGAAAAACATCCATTGCTTTCATAGAATCTACAGGAATGAACCTCCCTTATTAAATCTGAATCTTACTAACTGAAAGAAGATAAAATTGGTATTTATCCACAGAATAGCTCTGTTATGAGTTACCAGAGCATAAAAGACCTGGTCTCATGAGGAAGTGTAGATTTTACTAGGGAAGATACCTTTCGATTTCTCTCTCAAGATTTGATCAAATTGAAGATTTGATCAAATGCAAGAGACAAGACTTGGCAGAAGTTCCTGAAAATCTTCAAGTGAGGATTGAGGAACAACTTAATACATGAAAAATAAAATCGGAAGAAGTGACTTTTCAGGGATGGAACAATTGGTGGATCACTAACACGCAAGGGTGGTACTCTAAGAAAGTATTTCCTTACTTTCTATTCTTGAATATCTGGCAGATTGGTCAAATCTGACTATTAGGTGAATTCCTCACCAGACATGAGGGTATTAGTGACATATTGCTCAGTCTTGGAAAGGATATAAATCCCATATGATCCAGTTGTGGCATACCGGAAACTGCTGAACTCATGATTACTATGTTCAGGTATGGGTGGAAGGAAACTGCCACTCTGTTCTTAATGAATACATAAATCTTTAAGGATATTTATAGAATTTTTATATAGCACAAGTCTGCTCTAGAAAAGACTCTGCTTAGTAACAGAAATAGTTTTGCTGAACTGATTATCAGAAGAAAGTCACATCTTGTCATTTCTGATTAAAAATTTATATAGGTGAGAAATCAGTCAAAAACTGAAACTTTTCAAATACTAACACTAACTAATTCAGTTTGAAAATTGATTTTACTAAACAAATACCAATGTTTTTGAGACAAATATTGATAAACTTCATCATAAAATTAATAAACTACATTTACGATAAAACTGCCCACCCCTGAATAAAAAAAAAAAATCATACGTAGGAGATTTCAACTGAAGAACACATATAATGTGGTTTCCAGTAGTAATATAATATATTATTGCAAATAATTACCTATTACTGGTATACCTTTGTCAGTTAATGAAGGCTAAGCTCTTGAAGAGAGGGGGGAAAAGAGAAGTGGGCGGAAGAATAGGGAAAGATTTTACTAACTAGTCCAGGTATACTTCAGATAGCTTTGTATAAATTAAACCTATTTTTCGTTTGCTTAAGAATTTCTTTACATTTTTATCAATAATAAAAATATTAAAATAAATACTTTTGAAATTTGATAATTTATCAATTTTAATCTCCATAATTTTTTTTTGTACTCTTTTTAAAAATATTTGTATTTATAAATTTTTACTGTCTACCAACAGAAGTTGTTATATGGTTTGTAAATTTTGTAACACAATTGTAAATTTTCTGAATAAAATTACATTCTATGAAAAACAATCTAATTTTGGTTATTTACTTAAGTGAGATCCTATTTAATTTTTAAAATTAGTTAATAATAGATTAAGGTTTAAAGTACCAGCAATAAATTTCACAAATAAAAATTAAAGTTATAGTGTTATAAAATATTAAATTAAATTTTTTTCTTCTAAATTTTTTTTTTTATCAGGATATTTGTATACTAATGACAGTCCCTATTTTTATTTTAAAATGAACTTTATTTCCAGAAGCTTCACTGTCTGACACCATTTCACTGAAGTGGTATCAGACAGTGAGGAGCCCTCTTCTCTAAATAAACAAAATATGAGACGAAGAACAAACTCTGTTCCAATCTATTATGGTTTTAAATAGTTAAATAAGAGAATAAGAGATGTAATGGTGCAGGTCGCTGAAAGTTTCTCTCGAAATAAAGTTAATTTTAAAATAAAAATATAGACTGTCATTGTTATACAAATATCCTGATCTACTAAAACAGTCAAAAATTACCTGAAAGATTTTTTATTTGTGAAATTACTATTTATTTTTTTAACTTTAATCTATTATTGATTAAATATGAAATTGCATTCTATTAGGTTGTCCCACACGTTTCTTTCTTCTTCTTTATTTGTGGTTTAAAGTTGATTCACTGTGTTATATATGAACTGTTCTGCTCTATTAACTTCTTACATCTCTCAGAAAGCCTCTTATACCTTTTTTTTTCAAAATTGTTGAGACTTACTTGCAAAATATTCATCGAGATGCGTTTTTAATTTGTTTTTGAATTTTTGATGTTTATTAAGGAGAAAATTTTGAACGAAAGAAACAAGTAATAATTGGCTTGGGCTAGGTCTGGAGAATACAGAGGATGAAGTAGAAAGTTCCAATCTGTTTCTGTATCACGGCCAACACAATATGCAGAATGTCCATAAGACAGAACCTCTAACAGTTTGATTGGAACGTTCTACTTCACCCTCCATACTCCCCAGCCTTTTCCCCATTTGAATATTACTTGTTTCTTTCTTTAAAAATTTTCTTTCTGATAAATGTCAAAAATCTGAAAATGAAATAAAAACGAATCTCAATGGATGTTTTGCAAATAAGTCTCAACACTTTTTTTCCAGAGAGATGGAAGAAGGTAGAAAATCAGAACAGTTCATATATAACACAGTAAATTAATCTTAAACAACAAATAAAGAAAAAAGGGAAGAACTTACGTGACAACGTAATATGTTAACTATAGCAGATCAATCCAAATATTTTGGTCTTGGTATTTAGCTTTCTAATATTGCTCTCCTGCATTTTCATTGGTTTTTTATTGGTTTCCACCATCTTAAGTGGTGTTGGAGATGTATTGGGTAGACTGTCAAATCATAAATTAGGATGTCAGAAATTTAAACTTTTGAGATTATCTGTTAAAATTATGTTAAAAACAGAATAAATCTTTAAGTTTTTGTAAGTGGATGACTTGGCACTAATATGTGAGCCCTAATAAAGTTGACATTAGTCAGTGAAAATTTATCTGACTAAAACAATGACTTTTTATTTTTATTGAAAATTTTTATTGATGAATAAAAGTTTATTTAATATGATTAAAATTTTATTCAGTTAAAAAACAAGATCTAAAAAATCTTAATAGGTTTTTAGTCATTGATATTGATATAAAACAGAAATTTCAATCAGAATAAAAAAAGAAAAGAATATTTAATAAATTAAAAATCTGAATAACCAATAGCCTGGAAGCACTAACGTTGACAGCAAGATACAATTTGAGTCAAGTATTCATTTTTAAGTGAAAAAAGTGAAACTTAATTTAAATAAATATTTATTTAGGTCTGAAATAACTAATGTTCTTTTTAAGGCACCAAAAGACGGAATGATAATTTTTTTTTTATTTTGTTCAACTACTTTGTTTGTGTAGGCAAGATAAGTCATATATTTTTTTTTTTTTTTAAACTTTTATTATGATATTTACAACTGTATTAGTATGAATACATCAAGTAAATTGTCATATATTTGTTTTCATTATTGCCAATGCTGTTTTATTATTGTAATGCTTTTTAAAAATTGTATAGTCATACTGTTAATGAAATTTTTGTTTTTGTTTTTAAAAACTTGAACTATTTTATTTAAAAGAAGAAAAATAAAAAATAGTTAAAAAAAAAAAAATCACTGAATATTTGTGTTATAGTTTATTTAAAATAATTTTTATTTAGAGAAATAAAAGTAAAATAAAATATTTCTGAATAAGATTTCTACTCATGCTCCAGAAAACCAATGTTCAAGATATATATGAATACGAAATTATTGAAAATAAAAATATAATTTTAATTTATGACTGAATAAATTATATACAAAAAAAGAAATAATAATGATAAATTAAAAACAGATTGATGGAAGTGCAAGTGTAGGAACATGCTAATGTTTTTTTACTACAATCTAAAACAAACCAAAATCATAAAATTTGAAACGGAAAAAAAGTTTTTGATATAACATATATGACTGCGGTTTTGATCCCGAGCCATCAGACAAACCATGCATTTTCTTATGCACTGTACTATCATATTAGTTTTTCATTTCCAAACTTTTCATGAAATCAACTCATTCATTGTGCATTAACATATACCTCGCATGTGTAAAGGAAAGAAAAAAATATATAGCACAAAACTAAAAGGCTAGTTTCAAACCTGTCAAAAAACCATTTATATACAAGCTGATTTGAAAAGTTGTCATTAATATGTAACATATTATTGTAAAACATTATGTTTCACTGGACCAATCAGTCTAATAGTCACTGAAAAATAGCAGATGTAGAAACCGTATTAAAGAAATTCAAGTGCAACACACAAAACAGAACGATAGCTATAGTAATATTGAAATGTATTCAAAGTGAAATGTGAGAACTAATGCTGCAGATAAAAACAAGCAAACATTGACAACTTTGAAGGAAAGATAGTGATAAAGAATATTTAAAAAGTTAAATATAAAGTTTGTTTGCTTAAGTGAACTAAAGGTGAAATTTCCTTGCAACAGAGTTTTTTTTCTGCAGATGAAAAAAATGTTTCCATAAGTTATCACTCTTCAATAAAAATTAATAAAAAGGGATTGTTCAGGAAGTTTAAGATTGGTAGATCATTTTTAAATCTATAAAGCTAAGTAATCCATAATGTTTGAGCGCCAACTTTTATGAAAGAGAACTAATTGGCCAGATAAAATTAAATGAAACTAGATTTAAATTAGGCATTGCCAATCATTGCTGGATTAAAAATGAGTTAGTAGAATTGATTTGCTTTATTAGATATTAATTTAATAACCATAATCCTGGGAAGTGAATTTCTGATGAAAAAATATAAATATATTGAAAAAAAAAATAGGTTTTGAAAAATTGCCTTCCTTATAAACTCAGAAATAGATGAAATTCAAATGATTGGCATATAGTTAAGCAAATTAATAAACAATATTTAATGATAAGTACAGTTGATATTGTTTCATTATCAATTATTATTATAGTTAAAATTATTTTATTATATACCATGGATAAGGTTATTCATAGGATTGGTCAACAACTCAACACATTTGACTGAGATCAAGAATCATCTTCTAACAAAAAAAAAAAAAAAACCTGTTGTTAGGAAACCTTATATTTTGATTTGATAAAAACGATATGCTTAAGCAATATATAAAAAGCCAACTAAATTTTTTGACAGGTTTGTGTATTAAGTGATGGGTACGTGATTACCGATGCACACAAAACCCATTGTTGCTCACCAAAAGGTCACAAAATGGCACCTGAAACAAAAGAAAAGAAAATGTGTAATTATAATTAAAATATATATGTTATTTTATTTCATGTTTTGCTTATTTTAAAAACTAAAACAGTTTGGTATAGGATTCATTTTTGAAAAATATGTATCTTAGAAATGTTTCTAAAGAAGAAATCATTCATTAAGAATTATTCAAATTTTATCAAACTTAATTTATTTTAAGATTGGAAAATTGTTACTGATAATAATGATAATGTGAGATTTATGGCTCAAGGTGGCTAGAGCTTTGATCATTGTTCTGATCAAATAGAACATCTCTAGGATGTTGCCGAAACGGTGATAAGAGTAATTATTTTGACAAACAGGGACTAGAATAGCTTTAGTGAAGATTTTGTAGGAAATAATAAAAATAGGTAGATAAGCTTATTACAAATTTTGTGGCAATCATTAAAGAAACAAAAAGTTTATTATCTTAAACAAATTATAGTGGTATTAATGTTTTTGGTATTTTGAATGTTTTAAAAAAAAAAAAACTAAAGCATTCTGCTAAAAGATATTTTTCAGTTTTTACTGAAGCTGACAAATATAAGGAGCTATACCAGTTGCTAATTAGCCAATAAAATTCTCGTTAGGTGATAAGAATTACAAATATATAAAAATATCATTCAATTTGATTTTATTTTTAAAAAATAAATCTGTAAATTTTAACTATAGAACAAGAGAGGAATAGAACAAAATTGAACATTTATCTTGGTATTAGTTGTTTATTAATAATTAATGTTCCTTTCTATAATTTCACACATCCATTTTATAGTTTAAATGTATTTATGTATTGAGTTTATATGTAATGCCCATTTATTGCAAAAAGTCATTTGTGACATTTCGTATCCTTAAATCATTAACAATTTTCGTGTATTTTCCCTATGTAAAATCAGAAAATTCTGAGCTTGCTATAACTATGTAACGTAATAATCTAGCAATTTATCGCCCTAAAACAACTATCCTACTTATAAAATGGCTTTTGTCATTTTGGTGAACTTATCCTGCATTTCTTTTTATCAATAAATAAGTTTAAAATTCACAAAAACTTTCTTAAAAGTTCAGCTCCATCAAAAATGTACTTAGGTAGTGACTTTTTGCAATAAACTGACAATATTATCCTTTGAACTAATTTTTTTTCCAAACATCCATGATAATTCTTTTAACTAATGAATAAATGCAGAGGAATCTCATGAAAAGTATCTTACGTTTAGTACTAACGGGATAAATTTATACAATACCAAATGTAATTTATTTTAAAAAAATATAACAATAACCAAAAATGAAACATACCTTATGTTTAATTTATAAAATATGATAAATAAATTTGTATTTCCAAGCCAATTGTAACCTTTTCCATTTGAAATGCAACCTTTTACATTTCTAGTGTAACCCTTTCCAAATAAAATGTAATCCTTTGAGGTAATATTTGAAATGGAAAAGGTTACAATTGACTTGGAAATGCTATATTAACACTGTGGTTCCTATGTTAAATTGATAAATTATAGATTTGTTATTGAGGACATCAGGAATGAGACCACATTAGGTGTATAAGTAGTGATTTAGGCTTCAGTAGTCTCAGTTATATATTGAAGTTATGATACAGACTACTGAAGCTTAAATCATTATGTATAAATAATATAATAAGTAAACAAAATATTCTTAAAAAATATATTGCATCTTTTAGGATCAAATAATTTGGTTAGAATATCTATAGTGTATATAATTATTAAATCTATACCATATCATATTTTCTATGTTATAAGGACTAAAAGCCAAGAGGATTATTACTTACCCTACAGTTACAGGAGGCGCAGGAGGGTGCCCAGACGTGAGGCTGATAAAGAAGAGGACAGGTGGTATTTGCTGGACACGAAGAGGGGCAACGAGGACAACAGTCCGAAGTTGAAAGTACTGCTGACTCGCACCATATGGGAGGGCATTCTACCTCCCAACAGTCTATCTCACCCATCTAAAGACAATATAATGAATTAATATGATATTGATGTTATGTGCTGTAGAGAATATATACTAGAATAGAAAACAAACTTTATTCTGGAACTAAATCTCTTAAGAATAACAATTTAACAAAAAATATCATTATCCAAGAACATTAATAAGGTTTTAGCAATATATACATTTTCTACATTAAAAATATATACACAACAAAACATGAAATCATTTTAATAATACAAATAAGTGCCTTCAGCAATAATAAACTAGATGAAAAAAAAAATTAAAATTATGGATTGATTCCAGAATTAAAACAAATATTAAAACTATTACTCAATTAAAATCAACAGTTTAGTATTAAATTAAGTATCTTTTTGGGATGAGAGAAAGTAATGAAAATGGAGGTATTTGAATAACAAAATGGAAGGAGCATGGTGGATATTAAATGGTTGGGAATTCAGAAAGCAGTGAAGGGGACAAGAAAGGAATGTTCGAAGGTTTTAGTTCTGTGGGAAGGATTATAGTGGTCTGAAATACAAGATCTTGTGTTTGGAGAGAAAAGTTTGAAGACTGTAGATGTAGGAAGGGTTCTGGGAGGTAATAGTTTAATATAAAAAGTATTTCAGGAAATATTGTCAATTGCAGAGGGGGAAGAGCCACTTTAACTCACCATAGAGGTGAAACAAATGAAAACTTTTTGATGTACTGAAGATAAATCTTAGCAGTACATGATTCGCTTCAGTCTGCCTTCAAGTACTATTGAGAAGAGATCGCAAACCATACAGCCATAGTCAAAGTGGGGGAAAATAAATGACCAAACAAGAAGCTTTTGTGTAGGTAATGGAAGAAGATGCTGGCAGGGAGCTGTGAGTGAATCTATTGGCCATCAGGAAATATTGGCCACATGAGGAATCTAGGGCATGTTTTTGTCAACAGCAACACTCAAGTTTTTTAACAGAGGAGGTGAAAGTGATAGAATGATAATTTAGGACTAGGAAATGTAGGAGAGGTTGGGAATTAATGCTGGAGTTAAAAGCTCACCCTGCACCATGACATGAACTTGTAATTATTTTATCATTTAAATTTTTGGTTTATCAGGTTGATAGGCAATGCGTGTTTTGTACATCAGTCAGCTAGCTCAGCCACTACACTCTCATGTGACAATGAATATAAATAGAGAATGGAAACCTATAACGATGGCCTTAGTTTTCATAGCATTTAGTTTAGCCTTTGTTTAATATTGGCAAACACTACTAATAACTCAGAAGGAGGAAAGAATAAATAAATTCGGAAGTTTTGAAAGGATTGGGAGTAGGCTTATTGGTCTATAGGATGTTGTGTTATTGGTAGGTTTACCTGGTGGACAGTAATTACTAGATGTAGGGTTAAGATTTTGGTTAGTAGGACAGAATAAGGCATTTTTTACTGAGATTTGGAGTGAAAAATCATATATGAAAAGAAACCAGTAGTATTTCAAGGAGGCATAGTTTTAAGACTTTAATAAATATTCCATTATACGCAATAGAATTAGTCTGTGATTTCATTGTGGAGGAAATAAAGTCAGTAAGAAAGTTGTAGGAAAAATAAAAACTATCTCAGCTAATTTAAGGAATAATGGAAATTTGAGAAGAAAAGAATGGATTAATATTGCTAGTGGAAGAAATAAAGTATCATTACATTAAGAACATAAATTCACTTACAAGACATTCACAGGTCTGGCATTGATATATCCAGCGCTCGCCAGACCTGAAGATGACATGAGGTAGCTCCTGATGCACGCAGGATGTTGCCGTAGGGTAGCAATGCGGACAGCAGTGGACCGCTGGGGATAGAGCACAATCACAGCTGATAGGCGTACAATGGACCACTCCATCGACACATCTACATTCCTCACATTCTCCTCTTGGTATTACTCCACCATTTTCTACTTCCTGACCATTTATCACACAACCTACAAACAGAATGTGATATAAAATAATTAACTAAAACTTTATTTTGGATCATATTGACAGTTGGGTTAAAATTATCTGATTGATGATTAATGTCTACGTTTTTTGTTACAAATAATAATCATGACCAGTATCTAATTTTTTGTTTTTAGTCATGATTAATTGGAAAACCATAATTTTTTTTATGACCAATGACTAAAAATTTAGTGGTCATTTATTATTAATATTTACTTTTATTAGTCATGACTAAAATTGAGAATAAAAATATCATGAACAGTTTCAAAAATAAAATTGAAGCAATTACCGATTTTACTATTTTTATTTAATAAAACATTATTAAAGTAGTTAAAAAAAAATCAACTAATATTTTTAAAATTTTATTTACTACATTCATATTTCCAATCCTAAATCCTTCATTTTAACTTTCACTTACGTATTTTTTTGTATGACCCTTAATCGTATTTTAGATTATACAGGGAGTTTGAAATACTTACCAATAGATGGATTAACAATACATCTAATTTAATATTTTTTGAACTTAGAAACTAGAACAAATACCATGAAAATAGTAGAAAAAAATGCTGTTTAGAGACTTTTGCTATATTACATAAATATATCGTATATAGAATTTTTTTAAATATAAAAATAATTACTAAATTATCTATAGAATTATTACAATAAAACATACTCAGGCGGCAGTCGGTAGAATTGGTAGGACACTGACATCTGAAACCTCCTTCTACATTTATACAATCTGCTGTCTCATGACAAGTATGGTTACCAATTACACATTCATCCACATCTAAAAATAATGAAATATAAATAAATACATTTAAAAAAATACAGTTTATCATAAAACTAATATGTGTAAAACATAGTGAAACTAATATGATGAGGTTCACAAAATATAAAATTTATTGCTCCTGAAAAAAGTATACTAATTATTAACAATAAGTATTTATTAATAACAGTATTTTTACAAATTCCAAACTCAAACTGTTACCTGTTTCACTACAATCAATCTATGAAGGATCTTGATTAAGTACTTTTTAAGGAAGTATTGTTTCTATGCCAACAAGAAGTGATTGGGCCGAGATCATGTTCAACTGCCAGATTTTTCCTCTTAATCAAATATTTAATTATGAGTACCCACTTTATAGAGGCTGTGTGGGCCCCAAGAGGGTTTTCCAATTCCAAGGTTGATCCAAGGCTAATGTAACAGAATATGTAATATTCTGCCACAATGGACGTTGAATCAATGACCTTCAGCATAGGAAATCAGTGACTTACCCACTGAATTATCCTACTCCATTTAAATTCTTAGGGTCACTATATATTCTGGTATTTAGGTAAAATCTGTTTTTAGTATAAAAAATATACACCACATAGGTAATAAACAATTTAAATCAGTATATTAAATATCTTGAAGAACCTAAATAATATAAAAGAAAATTTTAGCATTCAACTCTGGTATTTTATAGTGTTTAGAACATTTATTTTACCACAAGTATTAAACTTTTATGGTTTAAAAAATATATATATTGTAATATACACCTTTATTGAAAGTGAGTAAAAAGGGTTTAATAAATTAATATTGAACAATTAAAAGGCAAGCTAATGTAGTTCTACTAGTGCAGAGAAAAGAAAATTGCTGCTCTGTAGTTTCCCAAGATGGAAAATCCCAAAGAGGAGAGGGAAAAAACTTTTGGTTTTGGCAAACAGTTGTGGTGTGACTGCAGTGAAGAGAGGTTAAGAGAAGATATCCTATCCTGGCTCCAGTGGGTAAAACCTAGAATAGTGTCACCATTTTGGACGTTGTGTTTGGCAGAACATTTTAAAGCATTAAAGACAAATGAATTTAGTGCGACATAGGAAGAAAAAGTGTATATATAAAAAAGCTTAGCTTGCCAATCCATACTTGACTTTATTTTAATATCAATATTTAATTTTAATATAAATAGTGTAAATGATAATAGTTTGCCTGAGTTGATCTGATTGTCAGTAACACACACCCGAGATATTAATACTCTTATAATTTTGTTTTTATTTAACAACCTATCATTTCTTTTGGAAGTATCCTAAGGGTATAAAGTGATCTTCTGAGGCCTTATTATTATTTTAAAATATAAGAGGGATGTTACAATATAAATACCCTTCTCTACTGTGTTTCTCTCTTGAGTGTTTGAAATAATGATTATAATTTGTAAGCTCGATAACCCCATGATAGTTAAGCCACTGCTATACATCCTGATCAACTGTTTACTAAACTCGCTTTGCTATATTTTAACAGCTTCAAGACTTTATTTATTTTTTTACATCATTAAAAACTATTTGAATTCTGCATATTATCTGAAAAAGTACACTATATTACCTATACAGAGAGTAGGCGAAAGATGAGTGAGGGCTGGAACATATCCTTGGCGACAAGCGCAATAGTACCAGCCCGGCATGTTAACGCACTGTGTACTAAGATCGCAATGACCTATCCCAGCTTCGCACTCATTAAGATCCAGAGAACAGTCCTGCCCAGTATAACCGGTTCTGCAGGCACACTCACCATCTTCGTTACAGCTTCCTCCGTTCTGGCATGGAGCTGGGCACGTTCCTGAAATAAAAAATATTTATTTAAATTTTTTTTATTAATATATTGATTTATTATTTCATTTTTCTGGTTGTTTTGATATATAAGAAAGGTATTAATTGAGGCATTGACAGTGAAAAGGTTGCAAGTGCCAAAAACGTGAACAATTTTTTTTTCTATTAAAATGAAACCATGTTCCGTCGCCAGTGATACTGACCAGAAAGTAACTGACAGTTGACCTTAGTTTAGTTCTCCTTTGATGGCAAAGATAGCGCTGGTTTCAACTTAAGGGAATTTTGCATTGATAAAATAGTGATTTTGGCATATCCTGTAAAATTTGAATTTTGGAACTTACTACCGATTCATTGTCAATGCCTCAATTACTGTTAACAATAATTTATTAATGACTTATAAGTATAATAGTTATTTCATTTACTATGCTTAATAGAGGCCTTGCATTATCTGCGATTTCACTTGATCATTCCATAACAAAAGTAAAATAAATTCACATAAACTTAAAAATATTTATTGACAAGGTGTGATCTCAATTCTGCAAGCAGCACAGCTAACTTCATCCTCAAAGATGCTCATTTGTAAAGAACTTTCTTAAAACTAACATTTGGATCATTAACTGATTTTTATTATTTAAGGGTTGGTATTCATAGGAGGTTTAAAAGAGCTGTATAGTAAGGTATATCATAAAAACATTTTTTGTAATGATATTTTCAAGTTGATAAAAAAATATTATAATATTCTCATAGCTACTCGAATAACTTTTTTAAAAATAAAAAAAAATATAGAAAAACTATTTTTAATTACCGTTTTGTCAGAAAGAAAACTTCCCTCCCTCCCTCTCCCAAAAAATAAATGTTTAAAAAAAAGTTGACTGATATTTTCCTTTCTATCAACATGTTTTTAGAAGGATGCAATTTTAAACACAGACAAAATATTACAGCAATTAAAATTAATAATATAAAATAATTGCAGCATCAAAATGGTACAGAACCTAATAAGCGGACGTTGGGTCACCGATTTTAATGAAACTTTTTTGGTGATGCTAGATCGAAAAATATTAGACCCATGTCCGAGGGTTCTTGCCAAAGGACCCTAGGAGCTGAGAAAAAAATTTGCTTTGCTCTGATTGAATTTATAAGTTATTATATATCACTCGATTTTTTTTTTTGTTTGTGTAAAATAAGGAAAATATATTGCTTATTGTATTAAACGAATTATAAGGTGTAATACATTACGAAAACCCATAGGTGCAATACAGTAAAGTAGGTCAAGTAAATTTTTGTCATGAAAAAACTATTCAGACTCTTTTTAAGGGTTCACTTTAATACGTTCATAAATACAAGTTTATTTTGAAATAAAAAAAATATAAATGTTTGGGCGCCACTTTATGGGAGGATTTTTTTCATGCCGTTTACTAAATTATTTGTAACTCCTCAGGTTTTTCTCCTACTACAATCTTCGAAAAGCTAAATTATTGCTCTTCAAAACTGTATCAATAACTTTGACATTTTACGCTCTTCTAGGGAATAAATAAATAAAAACTTCCCAAAAGTGAACCCTAAAAACGAGTCTCAATAGTTTTTTCATGACAAAAATTTACACTGAAAGCGTCTATGGGCTTTTGTAATGTATTGTGCCTCATAATTCGTTTAATACAATTAGCAATATGTTTTTCATATTTAACACACACACACACAAAACAAAATCAATTGATATATAATAACTTAAAGAATTCATTCAGAGAAAAGTGAGAAAACAGTAACATAAAAAAAACTTAATTTTTTTCTTGGATCCTAGGGCGCATTGGCATGAACCCTAGGACATGGGTCTAATATTTTTCGACCTAGTATCTCCAAAAAAAGTTTCATTGAAATTGGTGACCCCACGTCCTTAACCTCCCCTTGTTAGTGATATGATTTTATGAAATGTTACCTAATGGTTTTTTGAAATAAACTGATGATATATTTAATAAAACCTTGCTGCTGCGATTGACTATAAACAAAATATTTAGAAATATTTTTTTTTAAAGAAAATCCCACTTTTCACTTGATTTGGGCCTTTAATATTATTAATGGTTTAAATATGATTTGTAATAATTATTTTAAATATATTAAAACTTACTCAGACAGTGAACACCATCCCCAGAGTAACCCTCTTTACAAGTACAATGGTAAGAACCTAAAGTGTTGACACATAACGCATGCACATGACACTCATGAGTCCCTGCTGCACATTCATCTATTTCGGCGCAATTAAACCTGAAATAAATTGAGATATATACATGTTAAAAAAGATTTATAACTCCAAGAATTATAATTAAAAAGCAGTATGTCTGCAGACCCAACAGAAGCACACAAGCTCTGATATTTACTCTGAGGCAAATATCAGAGAATTCCTTCCAATCCTGACCTAATTTAGCGAGTCTTGGACTCTAACAGGAAAACATAAGAGCCAACTCTAAGCGATGGGGATGCGCCCCCTCCATAGGGCCAAAGGTAAGACAAGGAGAGACGAAGTGAGGCAGATCACTAACCGATCCAACTTGTGTCTGCCGGATAAAAAGGAAATAATAAAACAACACCAGCTAAGGTGGTTCAGACACGTCTCTCGAATGCCACAAGACAGATTGGTAAAGCTCTCAATTATGAGAACGCAGGTGGTAGGTAGAAAACCTAGAGAGCGACCTAGGAAGCCCTGGGAAAGTGGAATAAAGAAGGCCTTTGACCGGAGAGGATTGGAATGTTCCAGAAGAAAGAAAATTTGTACAGGAAAGAGATTTGTAGATCAAGCTCTACAGACGGAAGCCTCACAGTGCTTAGCGGCACACGAGGATGGATTAAGTAAGTAAGTAATTTATTTTAAAATATTAAGTATTATATAATCGATCAAATTTTAAAATATTAAATATTACATAATCGATCAAATTTTAAAATTGTCCTACTTTCCTGTGCATATTAAGTGCTCTCAAATGTAGTTGAAAAGAAATGAGAAGCTTGCTCCATTTGCATAAAAAGAACTACGTAATTAACAGGTTGGATTTAAAAAGGGAAGATCAACTAGGGACCAGCAGTTTTCTCTCAGGAATATCCTACAGAAGAGTCTTGAAAATAAGGTGGTTATAGATCACCTTTTAGTTGACTTCAAGGTGCCATAGGATATTGTTGATAGCAATTACGTAAAGCCATAGAAGATTTAAAAATTCCTAGGAAACTAATGAGTCTCGTCAAGGTGACAATGGATAATTTCAAGTGTGCAGTACGTGTCGAAACAGACATCTCGGAATCTTTTGGCGCCATCAACTGGCTTTGCCTTCAGCGATTTAACCTGGGACTTGCTTGCCTCCTTTTCAATATGGCAGTTGAGAAAGTTTTAAGATGTTCAGGAATTCAAACTTTCAGGACAATATTTTCCTGCTTTGTACAGCTTTTGGGTTATGGAGATAAAATTGATCTCTTAGACAGATCAGTGTGCCCCATAAAGGAGGCCTTTTAATCTTTGTAGAAGACTGAAAAGGAGTCGGTACTCACTATTAAGGAACGGAAAACAAAATAAATATGTCCTATTAATAGAAATATATAAATTTCAGTAAGTGGGATAGTTAAGTTATCGGAGCACAGAACGTATTTTAAGTATGAGCTCAGTCTGAAAGTTGGAAGAAGAGTTACTGTTGCTAACCTATGCTTCTTCAGTCTTTCAATACATCTACCGAATGAGTCTCTGGACAATGAAATAGAAATTCGTTCTTACAAGACGCTGTTAGGCCCACTGTTGACTTCAGCTTGGGCTATCGCCAAGGTAGATGAAGGAAACTTCTGGCGTTTGAGTGAAGGACTCTCACAAAAAGTCTTTGGTATGTTAAAGGAAGAACTCTTTGAAGCAGATGAAAAAAAAAATGGGAACTTTATGAGCTCTAGAATGAGGTGGAAGTGGTCAAGTTCAATAAGGTTGGAAGGTGATGTTGGGCTTGAATGGGTGATTCTAGGAATCCCAAACTACTAATGTCGGAGGAATCTCACAGGACAAGAAGATTAGGAAGAAATATGGTAAGGTGGCTGAACTCAAATAGACCTCAAATCTGTGGACCCAAATAGAGCCCCCACGGAACTGAAGAGCTGCATCGCAGGACCGAACTAACTGGCTAGTTTTTTGGAGGTGGCACAGACTCAATGATGAGTTGTCGCTCTAGATATGATGATGATGGTTCAAAATATGGAACATTAGGTATAAGCGACCTTTGAATAATCGAAAGTCCAATTATTAAAGTGAAAACTATAGCGCTATAGCGCTTTTTTTGTGGAGAGTGAATTGGATTGATCCGTCCGTTTTCCGATGTGTAACACTCGGGTAAAGTCGGATGGAGTCGACTAATTGAAGTGTTTTTGTCCATATAGATTAAAATATCTCAAAAAAAAAAATTCGGATCTGCATATTTGAAGCGAGGGTGAAATGTTCATCATTTCATCCTTTGTAATGATCTATTATTCAAAATTGTATCTTATCGCGACGCCGTGTTAGAAAGACAAAAAAGAAAAAATAGTCGAAAACCAAATGATAACGAGTGTTAGAAAGATGTGGATTAAAATATCTCAGAAACTAAAAATCAGACCTGCATACTGTAAGCGAGGAAATTGTTCAGTATTACCTCCTCTATATAATGAGATATTATTTCATATTATTTATCATGCCTTGTAGAGGTTTTAACTGTGTTCTAACGCGCACATCACAGTTTTTTTATTCATGAAGTTGTCTTTCAAATTGTCTTTAACTTTTACATACCTATCGACCCTTCTATGACCAGGAAGACACTCGCATTCATATCCTCCCCTAGTATTTAAGCATTTAGTATTGCTACGGCAGTGATGTCCCTCCAGACCTCCTTCACTGGTACATTCGTCTATATCTGAAAAAAAAAATCTTATTAAGTCATATTTAGCGATACCTGGAACAAACCAACACTAGTTCTAACTATCGGAAAATTATCAGCTGTATGCGTAGTACGCTTTTTCAATCGAAGGCGCATGGAAGGTATTTAGGAATATAAAAACTTCAATTGCGCCTCACATTTTGATGAAAATTATAATTCTTTTGGTTTATCTTTAAAGATAACAATATATTTCCTAATTCTACTTATTTATTTCTGCAGAAACCTGCAGTAGCTTTCCATAAGTTTTTTTATAAATTCCTTCAAAAATATGTTTTACACCTCGTTCGAGAACTTGGTCATTGATAACGTTAACTCTTTAGTTACTACCTTTGAACCTTCTTAATCTGGACCAAAAATGGATCTATTTTCCCGACTTTGAACAGTTAACTAAATGGTATTGTATGTTTTGTAATTCTAATGACCAATAGGATGACCAGAAAGTTAGTTATGGACCAGGTGAACGAATGCTGTTTAGACATATAGAACTTACCTCATATAAATTTTGAGTCTTTTAATCAAATATATGAGAAGTTTATTTTGAAAGTGGCCTAAGTGCATTTATACTTAAATTGAGATATTTAATGGTTTGTGTATCAATACAATTAGAAATATACGAACGTTAAAAATATATTATACTAATGAGTCATAACGCTTAGATATATCTAAAGGAGTTCAATTTATAGTTTCTATTAAAATAATGGAAATTATTAAATGAATAATACGAGTTTTCTTGCTATGAATGAAGTTAGTCCACTTTCAAAATTAGCAACAAGATTCATTATAAAATTTGAAGAGACCCAAGTCCATTCAACATAAATTAAGATGCTTCAAATTGAAAAAATAATACTCAATTTATTTTATATATCCTTACAACACTTCAAAAACATAATTCATGCGATTTAAAACATTTTTTAACTATAGAAACTAAAAAACAATTTAGCGCTCATTTACATTTTGTATATGTGAAGGGGATTTGAAGAAATGGTGTTCCGGTGGTTTATATCTTAATAGGCTTATTCTGTCCTTGAATTTCGCTGTTTTAATTTGTCTGATATTTTTATGCAGTTGTTTCAATATATATTTTTTTTCAAACTTTCTTGGTCCACCCAGACGTGGTAACAGGACTTTCATTTCTGACAAAACGCATCCGAAATATTTTTAACCAGTCCCTTGATTCTCTGTTACAATTTTTCAACCTTTTAAAAATTGCGTCTTCTAATAATTTTGTTGATACGAAATCTTCTTGTTTCATTTCGTTTACAATAAAGTTATTATATTGCCAGCATTTTTGATAATAATATAATAATCTTGTGAGACACAAACATAATTGTTTTTTTAATGACATTTCTACCAATCTTTATCATTTGATAAAAACATATTAGTATATGATTTACACGTTATTTCCGAAAGTTAAGACAATTTTAAAATCCATTTTGTTTATTAAAATCTCCCAAAAACTTTAGATTTACTTTAGAAAACTTAAGTTTTTTGACAACAGCAATCTTATTTTTTAAAAAAAATTTCATCGAACTTGGAACTTGTATAATATGTTTCACCAATCTTTTCTCCATTGCTATCCATATCATCTGGATCATCTGCGATGAGTACTGATCTCCTCATACCTCACATCCCAATTTGGTCATATATTTCTAAAATTAATCCTAATACATTTTTACGGAAATTAAGTATGGATTCTCATGGGAAAACGATCACACTGAACCTAATGATGCATTTTTTTTTTTCGTTAACAAACCTTAATTTGAAAAAAGGTGATGAGAAAATATGTTTATTTCTAAAATCGACCTTTCTTTTCAAGAAATGTATGTATTGAGTGTATTGAAAAAAAAAGAAATGTATTGAAACTTGTATTTCTTGAGCATGTTTTTAAAGCTTATTTATTGAAAAATATTACAATCTGCCTCAAGGACATTTATAATAGTGTTTACAGATCACATTCACACTCTATGTACAGTAAATAAAATAAATCTTGAGCATTAAAAAAAAAAATCATTTATTAAATTAAATTATTGTTAATGTTTTTTTTCTACAAAACAAACATCAATAAACCTTTTTTTTTAGTTCAAAAAACGGGCCTGGAAGTTTATTTCTTTCCAAAAAGCGTCCTATTCAATTGTCAATTTGTTTAAATTTCTGCTAGAATAATCAGTGATTTTCGAAAATATGTTACACAAATAAAAAAAATTCTTAATTAAATTTTTAAAAATATTGGTTCTGATGTTACGATTGGAATAGAAAATATAGAGTTGTTCGCCTTTCTTTAAAAATTGTCAATAATGATTAAGAGTATCTTTGGAAGTAGACGACTTAGCTGCTTCGTAATTGAAAATTTCAATTTTTAAGTTCTTGAAGATTTGAAAAACTATTGGAAATAGCTTCGGAGAGCGTTTGATACTTTCTAGAAATATGTCTAATACAGATATAATAAGTGATGAAAAAACATAACATAATATCGAATAAATACAAAAATAAATATTACTATTTATATTTAAATATAACTAGTGATGAAAGGCTTACCTATACATTGATGACCGTTGCCAGTGAACCCTGCGTTACAATGACATGCGTAACTTGTTTCGAGGTTGAGACAGGACGCGTTGCTATGGCAGTCATGACCTTGGCTGCAGTAATCAACCCCTATGATTACAATAGTTATTAATCATAACAAAAATACTATTTAGTTATACGATATAATTTATTTTTTATATATACCTGGACAGAATTTGCAACATTCGTCAGGGGCAGAAAACTGTTTGTGCACGGGGCATTCCAAAGGTGGGCACATCGTGTCGGGGTCGATTCTCGTGCAGTGCATCGAGCCATCTCTGCATTCGCACTCCACGCACTGCTTCAGGCTGACCACTTCCCCGTCTTCGTACAGTGTCCCTCTCAGGTAACACTGTTCTGTGGGGGTAGAGTTTGGTATAAGAGACAAAGAAATAAATATTAGAATTATCAATGTATACAGTAAATACACATCGAGAGAAAGTAATTAGTTGTTAGATTATAATTAAAAAAAAATCAATCACACAGCCTCGTTTGCAAGTTATACATAAAAGCATCCTTTAAGATATCGCCATTTGAGGAATCATCACGGCAGAAGAAATAAGATAACTTCTCTCCACGACATCCAAACACATGAAAGAAATGGGTGACAACTACGGATGTGGCGATAGTGTCGATATAAATAGATATAAATATTTTCTATCACAATATAAACATATATAAATTAAATAAAAGAAAACAAAACAACTAAAATTTTTTCTTTAGAGCACAAGATAGAAGTAAAAACATCTATAAGGCAAGATTAATAATATGAAACATAAATTATAAATAAAGGAAGGAGATGGTCCGGGGGGGGGGGGAGTCATAAATAGGCTAAATAGTGGTCAAACTATTTTTATTGAAAGCCGACGTTTCGACCAGAGCGTTACACCTCGGAAATCTAACGGCTCAATATTAGAGTTCACTCTCTACAAAAACGTGCTAAACGCGCCTAAAGAAGTCTTGAATTAAAAAACCATAAATTGAACGCATTAGCACATACTAATACTTTTTAAAAAATTAAAATACACACCCTTAAATATATCCATATACTATAAAATGAAATTAAATACTTTCAAAGAAAACAATTCATATCGTAGGCTTATTGCAAAAAGTTACTTGGTAAATTTTTGATGGAGCTTTTAACAACGTTTCAGTGATTTTAACCGTATTTATTGATTAAAAAACGCTTGAAGTGCAAATAAATGACAAGAACCCTTTTATATATCAAATGCAGTAAGTACAGTTACAACACGCCCAAAATTATCTCATTTCTCAAAGTCTCAAAGGGAAAAATCATTTTGATATTTATATCATTCGATATTGGTGATATCGATATTTTTTATCCTTTATTATACTAGTATCGATATCAAAGAGCGATGTCGATAAGGAATATCGTAACTTGCCCGGTATCGTAACAACCTTTGTGATAACACAGCTGAGGAAGGTTATACAGTAATTATACAGTTGTGTGGTGTTTCTCTCAGTACGTGTTTGAATGATTTGCATGGAGTGATTTGTTCTAGAATTCTTTTTTTCTATACTGACGATCTCTGATTTGGCAAAATGTTGGTGAATTGTTTTTTCTTTATCTGCATTTTAGAAATATAAAGTTGTGTGGTTGGGATTTTCCAATTATAATCTAATGTAAAAATAATTTTTTTTTTAAAAAGGGGAATATTTTTATAATTGATGATTGTAATGATGTGGTGTAAACATAATTTTTTTGTGTTAATTAATATGTAAATATATAATATATGAATATATGAATATAAAATATATATTAATAACATTACTCACTGAGACAGGTAGGGCAGCACTGACCAGGATGAAGTACTGGCCTCTTGCAGTTCACAACGGGGCACTGGACTGGCCTGCATTCTACTGCCCCGTGCTAAACAATTTTTTATTTATTTTAATTTTATTTAAAATATAAATATAATTAATATTTATAATAAATAAAATTAATTATCAAAAATATAATGTACATATTCTCGCCACCATGTTAAAATAACCGATGTGCAACTTAAGGCATATTAAGATTCGTTACTTTAACATGGCGTCGACAATATGAAGCTTTAGTTAGTAATGTCATATTCATCTAAAATTTTCATGTCAAACATTGTAATGATTTTTTTTTTTTTGCTCAGACGGATAAAGTTCAATATTTTGGATTAAAATTTGACAACGCAATATCGTACAAAAAAAAAAAAAAAAAAAAACACAACAAAGCAACCAACCTAAGAGTACGATTAGATATTATATTCACTCCTTTCAAGTTGTAAGTTGTAGATAGAAATTTTACGCTTAATATTTAATTCACACCATAAATTGATTTTATGGTGTGAATGTCATCCTACCTCACTATAACCAATGTCCAACAGACAGATTGTTATAATACTCAATAAAGAAATAAAACAAAAAAAAAAAAAAATATTTAATACATATGACCATTTAAAACTAAGCATTAGTGTTGCCCAAAATCGGTCTTGGTCTTGCACTTTGCACTGGTAAAAAAAAAAATTGATTTTTCGAATAAAAATTGAGGCAAAATAGTTACTAATACTTGACAATTTTAGTTAACATATGTAAAGAATTGGTGTAACCAATATACTTTTGCATTTGGCTCCTCTAATTTTTCATTCAGACCTGGTTAGGTTTCTCATATCTAAAAAAATACAGTAAGATCTCTCTGGTAATAAGCTAATAGGTAACTGAAAGAATGTTACGAGAGTCTTGCGCAAGACCAAGACTCATCTCGGTCTCGCATTTGGGCAACACTAGTGCCAACCGTTAAGGACATACTAACATGAATATAATCATCGTCATCATAATATTATATTTCCTCTTTACCGCTTAACCTGAATATAATAAATTATATATTTTTACTATTAGGTGATTATGAAATTATTTTTATGCATCCTATCTTTATCTTTAACTGAAATAGTTTTTTTTTGCCTGAAATTAACTTAAATGTTACTCTCGGACGGTCATATTTTTGCTTGCTAAAACGAGCCACATCACACTGGTGCCCGCGAGCTCTATGTTGCGAACCCCTGTTCTATATATATTGGTTTTACATAGGAAAATCAAACACATTGGTTTCTAGCTCAAAATGATTTCTCAAATTCAAATATAAAAAATTTAAATGTTCATAATTCTGAAAACAATCGCTAGAGCTATTTAATATATTGTATTTTTACTTATTAGTGTAGTTACATAATATTTATAAATTTTCAGATCAAGACCTGAGGAGAAGAGGTAGGTGTCGAATTAAATTTTTGCTAGATGATTTGATATGGAATGGTCCAAAAACATTATGCTATACAATTTACAAATTAGAACATTACTACTTCTCTCTCTCTCTATCTCTCTCTCTCTCTCTCTCTTTATATATATATATATATATATATATATATATATATATATATATATATATATATATATATATGATTTGATTACTCACGACACAAGAACAGATGTCACAGTCTGCTTGCCAGGACGCACCATCAGCCCGGACCGTGCCGTTGACTTGGCAGGACTTGATGCAGTCACATGCCTCCACCTGAGATATCCTGACCTCTGCCGCCTCCAACTGCAATCACCCGAGATATCGGTCAAGATAAAACGTTTACATAGATAAGAGAACACAATAGATAATGCATATACCAATAAACTGTCCGAGAAGTGTCTCGTGGTTGTGTAAACGTTATATGTTGTTATTTGCTATGATTTATTTATTTATATTCTATACAATTATTTATATTCCTGCAGCGCATCTAGCAAATTTTTGTATTTATACTGTTTTGGTGTATTTGCTTGATTTTGTTTTTGTCGATATAGTAGGTCTCTTGGCCATTTTTTTCTTAATCTGCTTCGTTCAGGTAAGAGTTAGCAGGAGATAGAAAGAACCAGAATATTGGAGCGATTTTGAAAATGAAATGAAATGAAAATATTTTTTTTATTATCCTGGGACTGTTGTCCCTTTAGGACAAATTACAGATACAGAATAAATGCCTGTGTGCCCATACATAAAATTAATTATTTACATTTATTATTAAGATTAAGATTTTGAAAAAATAATAAAACAAAAAATATAACTATTACACTAAAAACATTCTGATATGTATAATATAAGTAAGCATAAGTAAAGAAAATAATTTCTGAGGGAACATTAAAAGTTCTCTTATCTACATTTCATGATCAATCGGGTTGGGAAAGGAGTAGGTGGTTAAAAAGGAGAGATTTAAATGAGGAAACTGATTGTACATGTCGGATATCGGGAGGGATGGTATTCCAGAGGGAGACGGCATGAATTATAAAGGATTTGTCAAACGCTGCAGTTCGGTGAGGAGGTGGATAGAGGTCGGAGGTACGAGATCTAGTGAGACGGGATTGAATGGAATATTTGAATTGTAGGTTGTGAAAAATATAGGCAGGCCGCTGAGCTCTGATGACTTGGTATAGAAAAGTGGCAAGGAAGTACAAACGGCGGTTGGATGGATAGAGCCACTTAAACTTGGTGTAATACTGGGTTATATGCGTATCTCTTGAGATTCCGAAAACAAAACGTATTGCGCGGTTCATTAGGCGTTTAAGTCTGGCCTCGAATTCTCCCGAGTGTCCGCCGTACACCAGACAGTTATAGTCGAAGAGGAGAAACACAAGGGAGGAAACCAGGAGTTGACGGGATTTATATGGAAGGAGATAGCGGAGATGGTTAAACTGTTTCAGGGTAGAGACAGTACGACGGGAAATTTGGAAGATGTGTGGTTTCCAGGAGAGGGTTGAAGAATCGAATGTAGTGTATTTGTCGTGGATGTAGGATTTTACTGTTAGGGTATTTAAGTCGGTATGTATATTATTATATGAAATGTACCAATGTGCGTTCACAATTTTTCGTAGAATTTTTTATTGTGCTGTTTGTATTTTGTTTATGTGTGTTAGTCTTGTCGAACCCAAAATTTCTGCTGCATATGTCCATATTGGTCTCAGTAAGGTATTGTAGATCAGTCGCTTGTTTCGTAAGTTAAGTGAAGATCTGTAGTCCAGAAGATGTGAGAGTTGGCTATATCGTCTAGTCAGTTCTTGTCTTTTTAATTTCGTATGTATGTTCCAAGTAAGTATTTTGTCTAAGTAGAGTCCAAGGTCCGTATATAGTTCTTTGAAGGCATTGGGTTATTGGCAGTTGTTATGGGTGAACATGAGGCTTTCCTAGGAGAGAAACTAACATGGGTGGATTTATTTTGATTTTACATTTTTGAAACCACTTATCAAGATCATGGAGGTGGTTTTGAAGGGCAATTGATGCGATAGTACGATTTTTGTGCGAAGAAAGAATAGCAGTGTAGTCAGCGAAGCAATAAATGGTGGTACTAGAGTGCTCGGGTCTTATTTTCCTGGGTGCTGTATTTTTAAATGTAATAAGTGATTTTGTACATTAGGTGAGGCTGGTTTGGGGTCGAGGTGGTTTTTTTGCATTGTTGTATCTTAAGCATAGGTAGCAGTATATATTCTGTTGGGCAACGATAAATAGGCTCATATTCGTTTCATAGTGCCGACGATATGATGTAGAGTAAAGAAGCAAGTATTAGAATAAGATTTACCGATCATTCAATTTAAGTGAGGGACTTACATCTAATAAGTATTTTAAATTATAGATAAACCTCATTTGAACTTTTGTTTTAATATCTGAAATCCGCCATCAATTTCGTGCGCTTTAATAACCACTTACCTTCCCACATATTTAACGTCTCTACGTGAAACATATGACATTCGATGCTCTTTCAAATTGGTCATAAAGAATTTCTTCGAGAGATGCATAGATTATGTGTTTTTAAGGAAAAAAAAAATTAAAATAGATATTTCGTGTGAAATAAGCAAATAGTCAGTTTATCCTAACTTCTCCTCCTAACCTATCCTAGATGAAAATACTATGGATAACATTTATAGTAAATTTTATTTTCTTTAATTTGACAAATGCTAATAATTTAGATAAAATGCATAGTTTCGGAGTAATGACAAAAAACATTAAAAAACGCAGATAAACCGATTATTTGAATTTTTTAAAATCCAAATACCGTCCGACTGGACTAATTGTATGACTTAGCGCCGTCAGTTTGTAAAACGTAACCGAATACATCGTCAGTCAATGCGAATTTTTTTTAGGGACACGTTATTTACATTATATAGAAATTTTAGCCATCAGTCCTACCGTTAAAATTTTGACGCTAATAAAGTTTAAATTTTCGTGTATAAAGTAACGGCTTTAAACTGACTGACCGTAGTGTTCAGATTAGATTTAAAGAGAATTTAAATGGTTATTATCTGTACGTTCTTCAATTAAATGAAATGATCCGGTAGCTTCCAGTCTATATTGATTCTTGTGGTACTCCCGTCAATACAGGTCGAATTAAAGAAATTTCCAAGACTTGTTGGATAGCGAAAAATCTATTGAAAAGAAATTATAGAAAAATGTGTAAGTCATTTACTTGACAAGCACCCACCCATAACCACACGGGGAGAGCACCCCGAACCACGGGAGGTTCATGAACAAGAAAGATTTAATTCTGTGTAGAGCTAGAAGAGGGAGGTTGGAGAGAAAGAGTGTTCATTTCAACACAGGGATAAAATGAGCAATACAAGACTAAATTCTCTAAATTGAGCATCGATTCGTATCTTCGGAGAATGTCGATATGAGATGAAGAACAAGAACACTGTTCGTATCCTTTATGTTTTTTAAATATACAGAAATTATAAAAGTTATAGCATGATCTGATAATAACACCGTAAGCTTCTCAACAAATAAAGTTTTAAAATTAAATAGAGACTGTTAATGGTCAAAAATCCTGAGCTTATAAGAAAATATAAACAGTCTAAAATTATCTAATAGAAAAAGAAAGATATAATTAATAGTAAAGCTAGAAGGGGGAGGTGGGAGAGGAAGGATGTTCCTTTCAATACAGGAATAAGATGAGTAACACAATATTTTTTTAAAGCAAAAATACAGTGCAAATTATTTAATTCCGTACAGTTGTATTTTAAGTCCTCGTCTTTTAAATCGCTTTAAAAACACTTAGGCTATAGCGTCTTAGCACAACCTCCACTGGCTTTTAATACCGGTAAAGTAGTCGAGAGAGAAGCGTTGGGATCTCTTCGAGCATGGCTTTCTACCATCACAAGTGGGGAACAAGATTGGTGAGGAAATGATTGTAAATAGTTTCATAATATGCCTGTGTTTAAGATGTTTATTTTATTTTTGAAATATAATTTATTATTATTTATTTTTAAGCTATGTTATTTTGTTCTTATTTCTATATATTATATTGCTATTAATTTATTTATTAATGTTGTCTGTATATATGGTGCAAATATGCTCTATGATCTCTATTATAATTTTCTCTAATTGATACAGAAGATAATATTTTCTTTGAAAAAAAAATTATAAATAAATAAATAAAAAACTGTACCACTACAACCCGTGAAGGGTGTTGAGTTCAGTACTATTTAGGAAAAGCACTGTTTCTAGGTCAACGGCTGTGCAAGGAGGTGATTTGACCGAGATCACGCTCAACCGCTAGGTTTTCCCCCTTAATCAATTATTAAGTGTGCCCCAGGAGGGTCTAGCGACTCAGGGTCGCCCCATGGCTAATGAAACAGATATATAAATTTTCTGCCATGAGCCGGGGTTCGAACCTGAGACCTTTGCGTTGGAAGCTCAGTACCATTGGTAGCTCACTGAGCTACCCCACTCCCTTCAACAATTCAAATGGTTTTTAATTTTAATTCGGTTAATCCAAGTCTGTTAAAACATTTAAAAAAATAATAATATTATAAACAATATATATTTTTTATTACTGAATGATTAGTTTAATTGATCAATAAATATTTATCGATTTATGAATGAGCTGGCGTGACACTACGAGGCAGGAGACGAGGCGGCCTTGGCCAGAATCAAGGGCATGGGGTCGCCGCCCCCTATCGATCCTCCCCGGTACTACTTATTATGGATTTTATTTTATTTTTTTATAATATAGATAATATATAATATAAGCATGAATGAGTATTATTATTATTTTCTTGAATAATTTGCTGTGGAAAATCTTTAATCAGTTATCTATTGTTTTTACCACCCGAGAGTCTATTTTCGAAAATCGATTTAACATCGAGGCAACATTTATTTTTCCGAGATAATTTTTTCGTAGGATATTATTGCGGTCATGTCCGCAATAAATTTAGAATACACATAGTGATATTAAGGCAGTATACATTTTGTCTTTGAAGAACTAAATATTCTTTTAAATCTAATCCAATACGCTTAAATGTTTGTAACTGCAATTAGACCGAAAACCATTGGAAAGTGTTTGATATAAGTTAAAATTTTATGATTACTGAATCGATCTGGTATTAGAGGAAATGTGTAAGTCAATACTATCATAAAAAAATAAACAATTAAAGAAGGAGTTGCAGCAAAATATGTTTTTACAAAATAGTTGCTTTGGTAAAAAAAAAAAAAAATGGCTTATGAGAAATGGCAGTCCTTTCGGCATAATTTAAGAGAGAAAAAATTAAGAATAATGGAACTCTCTGTATTATCGAATTAAGTAGACTTCCAATTGAAAAGAAAAGAAGGAATTATAGTTAGGAATAATTATATTATTATTACAGTAACTAGACTAAGAATCATTTGATTTAAAATACTCTCAAGGATAACACATGAGTACCTTAGGACTAGACACCTCATTTGCATGTATTGCTCTTATTGTCAAATGAAAAGAAACTTCTAATCCGATTTTCTATTCGTTCAATGATCAGTAAAATAACATGGAACATTTATATTGTACTTTTCATGATTTCCTCCCATGGTATATATTTAAAAATAATGATCATTATAAACTCTAGTTAACTCTTTTGCACGAAACAAAATCTGATGCATGGCTTAATAATTTTTTCATGTTTGTTTATTACTAATATTTTACCTCCTTTATTAATTCCTTAATTACTTATTATATTTTGACATTCACAGGATTTAGAATTTCTTAGAAGGAACTCGACTATTTTTTAAATTGTTTTACAACTGTTTAATATGTGGTATTTTTAAATTGTATAATTAATTTATTATTAAAATTATATATAATTTAATTGTTTATAGCTGCAAATATTGTAATGAAATTTAAGAGCTAAATTGTTTAAGGGCTAAAATGATCCACAAGTGGTTGAAAAGTCCCACATTATTATGAATAAATACGAAAATCAGAACTTGAAATGAAGTCTGAACTTTTATTTGTAGTCAGTTTCAGTATGATTGGAATAATTATCGGAACCAGAATTTTTCCTGTGCAACTTTTCAATTAAAGCTTGTTCTTTTTTATTCAAGTCGAAGCTAATTATTTCGCTAATAAAGTCCTTTTAAAATTGTAAATTGAGCATTATAGTCTTAGCAATCCAAGTAAAGGACTCCAAAGAATCATTATCTATGTAATAAAAGCCCAAATTCTATTTATTTCTCATGTACTTTATTCATTTAACGAAATAAATTATTTCAAAAAGGTTTTTTAGAATTTTTATCATACCAAGTTATTTCCAAAAACGTTTCGCAGAAACTCATTCGTCTTAGCAATTAAGACTTCTATACAAAATTAAAGCTGATAAAATTTAGGACAAGATTGATGATACTCATTCTCCGCATAGATTCTGAGTACTCAAAAATCGCTGATTTTGAAAAAAAAATAAATCATTAATTAATAATTAAATCATTAAAAAAAATCATAAATCCTGTCTTGTTTTTCAGTAGAATAAGGCGCTGCAGTTATACTTTGTCCCGCAACACTGCAGTGTCTTGACCTCACTGTTTCCTTGCACAAGTTCCCCTAATATTTAAAGGCGTGTTTAGACATTTCACAAACTGCAAAACTGAAATATTTAAATGTTTTTTCCTCTACGCTATTTTAGTATTTTGGTTTCTTCCCCATCTACTGCCAGTAAAAAGATATTTTGAAGTTTTATCGTATTTATGCTTCTATATTTAAAAAAAAAAAAAGATGGTATTTGGTGCGGTAAGTTAATAGTATTGAAATGTATTAAAAAAAATATGCAAACGAGAATAACTAAATTTTATTTGAAATTAAATAAATTAGTATCATTAACAAATACTGTATAAAAGGAGTAGTATATTATATAGTTTTTTAAAGATTTTTTTTAATTTTGTCTTTAATTTAGATGTCACAATCTTGGATGTAACATCGATTTTTTGGATGGAATCCATGCTGTTATCTTAGGGTGTTCTTTTCTAAGGGTTTCAATTATTGAATCTATTTGAATTCGTTGATACATTTTCATCTGTTGTGAGACCATCACAACTACAATGACATATATCTGTCAATAAAAATACTTCTATTAGTCGCAAAAGTGAGAATCGACTTGGTTTAAAACTTGTGACAAATACATTCTTGTAAAAGCCAAAAAAACAAGGATTATACTGTACTATATTGGGAAAGTCTCAATCATATTGTTTTTGTATAATTCAGTGCCGGTACTTTTAAAATTTTCCTGTAAATAGAGAAGTCCTTATTAAAAGGTTTCGATATATTGTGTTTTCCCAAAGATCTTTATACACGGTCAAATCTCTCAGCCAAATCTTAGAATGAGTTTAATGTTGGAACTTATACCGTCTAAAAGAGTTTTGTACAGTCGAGGGTAAGACTGTACATTCGACTTGCGAAAATGTTGGAAATATAAATGCTACTTCAGCGTTTCTTACATAAAAGATAGTACTATGTTGTGTATACCGCCATTTCCATTGTTATTGTTTGTGTTAGTGACAATGTCTGTTTGAACAATTAAGCAAGTTTTAAAGTTAATAGAACTTATAAAGGCCGTTTTACACGATCACGTTTCTTTGAAATAATTTAATATAGTTTACTTTGCCTCAATCCAAAATGATAAAAAATACGTTCTCCTTCTCACTTATAGATATGAAGAAATGTGCAACCGAAAAAAATGCCTATACTATATAATCAAATAAGTACAGGAAAATATCGATAATAAAATAATATTGTCTTAATTATTGTTATTCGTAATTAAGACAATATTCTACATGACCAACAATCTGCTGATTGTCACTACCATGACAGATGCAGATGAAAAATTGAAGACAAAAAAAAAAAAAAGAATCCGATTATCAGATCGGAATCCTACATGTTATATTCATATCAATATTTTCACTATTATTATTGACTATCATAATTGGTATGCTTTTACCACCAAAGAAGCGAAAAAAAAAACATAAAATATGCTTCCATACATTATAGATTTGAACAAAATAAATTAAATAAACAAATATGTTCTTTATTTGTCAAGTCTCGTTAGCATATATGTATGAATAAAATATCAGAAGTAAACACCACAATTGTATTACTTTCCTACCTATACTGGGTAAGGAAAGTATTGCAATCGGGTTAAATTTCCGACATGAGGTTTTCGACGGATCTATACGTTTCAGAGCCCCCTGAGTCCAAAATAAGTCGTTGGAAAGGTAATGAAATTCTCTACAAAACCATATAAACATCGTTCATTTTGGACAACTATTAACGAAGTTACAGCTATTCAATTTCCAATGTAAGATTACGGTTTCATATCCTAGTCTCAGAAAGGGGTGAATGAGAGAATAAAGATGACTAAGTGAAATTAAGAGAATCTGGTGCCCGCATCACACAATCTTCACTATTTCCTCTACTTTTAACAGAAATTATTGTTTGACAATACTAAGCTATGCCAAAAAGTTTTTGATCAGCATTATTAGGAAGTATTGAAATTTTTACACTGATCTACCTTATAACGGTTTACATTGCTTTCGTTTATCAAATAAATTGTACGTTTGATCAATTTTCAGGAAAATGTATCTAGTTCAAATCTTTTTTGTTTCTTCATGAACATATGTAAAGATATAAAAACTTTTCTAAAATATGTAGGAAAGTCCTGTGAGTGGGCACACCAGATATTTTTTCTATTTAATTCAGGTTTTATTAATTTAAAAAGATATGATTAATTTCCAGGCACAGTTAGTGGGAAAATATATTAATTACAATTTTGACTGTCCAAGAGAAACTTACTCGTTTAACAAGGTCTATTAAACCTGCGATGATGGCTCCTCCTGGTTGGAAAACCAAAGTACTTAATTTAGAGTTCTAGGACAAAGCTTTGACGGTGTAAAGCGGTCTTAATACTAATGTTTGGTTCTTTTATGTTCAATTTAGATTATTCGGGCTTATAAAATAGAATAAGTTTAGGATTAAAATATTAGATATTAATTAGGTTTGGTGCACACTTACCCTGTCTAGGAGCGCTTGTAGCCTGGACGTTAGGCCGGTGACTGCAGCTTCCAGGCTGGAGAACTGGCCGCAAGTCGGGCACCCGGTGTCCAGGAAGGGGCACTGCCTCAGGTAGCCGTGCGCTCCGACGATGATCCGAACATCTTGCAGCGCACCCTGGGAGAGAACATTATAAACAATCAATAGATATAAGAAGAGTATCCTATCAATCTTATCTTGAAACAAGATGGAAGCAGGAAATCGAAATGACAATCAAACAAACATTATCATATCACCATTTATAACACTGTATAATTGATATCTTTTTCAGTTCTCAGGAGCGACGAATTTTCATTTTAGCACACGAACTTCTTGGAAAAGTTATGAATGAGAAATTTAAATGTTAAAACCTTACTACTAATTTAACAAAAGCCATTGAAAAAAGTGAGAGGTTTCAAAATCCAGATGTTTTCAAAAGTAGATAACATTAAGTACCGCTACACAGTGGTCTGAGAGCCTCAGAAACGCTTAATTCCAAAGTGTTACGATAATTAAAATTTCTATGTTTTTATTGTCTGACATAGTTAACTCATATTTCCTGAAGTTTAGGCACAAATAAAAATACCAGTTTCCAAGATATTCAATCAAATATAAATAAAACGCCAGTTTCTTCCAAATTAATCATGAAACTTAGTATAAACCATTAAATATATTTTATCCATTTATGAATTCTCAAAATAATTTTTTGTTGTGTAATTTGTTGGAGACCTGCTTTTCCTTCTGTAGTTGGAGGGAGAAGCCTGGCTTGGGGTTCCCTGCCTCATTGTATATATTGTATACAGGTATTGCTGTGTTTTTATGTTTTTAATTTACTTATCTTTAGGTTATTTTTTTTTATTGTACATAATTTTTGATTATTATTTTACTTTTGTTAATTTTATATTTTCTTTATGTATGGTGTGAATGTGTTCATATATCATGATAATTGTTGTTCACGTGACAGATTGTTATATATCTAAATAAATAAATAAAAAAAATGTTAGAATGAGTCACATTAGTTTATAGATAAGTTATTCCTTAATAAATTAAAAAAATGTATTTTTATAGAATAAATGTTCACTCAACGGATCCTGGAATTTCGTTTTTCCAGCGAAAAGTACGTCGCGCTAATGACCACCAAAGTCTTACTGTAATCACATTGTTCTTTGAACCCTCAGCTAATGATTAATACAAAAATCAGCTGCGGTAATTTGAAGTTTTGGTAATTATATGACAAATTCAGTCAAGAAGTTACTTATATCAAAAACAAAGAGGAACATATTTATACATAGTTTAATTTATTTTTTTCGGTTATAGAAAATTGGAGGGAAAGTATAGAAACAAAAAAACTGAAAAAAATCAAGAGAAAATATTGAAGAGAAATTCAAACATTTTTTTTTTACTTATAACTCATATTAGGATATAGTTTTCAGCTCACAACCCCTTATTTGGTTTTACCTTCATTTAGTTGTATGTTGCTTTGTTCATCTTCTCTTGGCACTATGTTCTCTTAATAGTAATATAGGTAATAGATATTTATAATTGGTTCGGCCAATAAACTTTTTCAATAAATTATCATCTTTACAACATATTGCATGCAAAATATATATTATTTATTATTGAAAAAAATCACAATAATTATAACCGTTGATCTCACCAATTGTTTCATTCTATATTAGCTCTGAATGTCCTAAATGTTATAATAAATTTCGTTTTTCAAATATTTTGTGTAAATTGAAAGTTTCCCAGGGTTTTCACCGTTTTTAAGTTCTTTTCTGTGCATCGTCATGTAAGACCTGACTTTGGAGTAAGCCTTAAAGCGCTGTTATTATAGAAAGAGAGATGAAGGGAGGCTTATTAAAGGATCCATAGAGGAAAAGGAAAGGAAGAAGAAGTTAGAAGAGGAAGACAATAAAGAGGAGAAGGCGCCATTGTAGGGGAAGTGTTCACGGCTGGCCGGATCTCAGCCATTATGGCCCGTCTCTATTCAGCCCTCCATTCCACCGCCTACTTTATCTCCCACTGTTTGTGTCCGTTTTTTTGTCTTCCTTTCCACTATGGGGCCATAATCGCCATGTAAAATAAATGGTATTTATTTTTGAAAAATAGATGAAAAATTCAAATTAATTTTCGTCTTTAGATGGACGTTTTAGCCTAAAAAATATATAATATTTCATGCAAGTGCATAGTTCTGTTCTCTATTCACAGAAGAAGACATGTTGGGACTAAACATGTCACATTTAACAGCCATTTAGGGCTTTCGGCACACTTTTCCAGAAAATTTTTATCGGATAAAATTATACATAATCTAAATTCATTTACATAACTACATCTCAAAGATTTATGGTTTAACAAAAACTAAAATCTTTTCAATTAATATTAATAATAGAAGCTCTATGGTACGTAAATAACAAAACTTAGCGTACTGACCAATAACCAATTATCGACCAACACATAGTACTCTTTGTTCTCGCTTCTGAAATTAACTTTATGTACATGATATCAGACTGATAAACGATATCGACATGGTTGACCTGCCAGTTCAGACGAAGACGGAATAGGAGCTGGATGAGAGACCCTTTGTGAATCAACTAACTTCATCAAGACCTGGCATAGATGTTGATGTTTACTATTCTTCCTGAAGTCTGAAATGGCATTGATTGTCAATGGCAGGTGTGAATAGAAAAAAAAAGTTATACATCTCACTTAAGTAGTCAGTAGAAATCATTTGAATTCAAAAGTTACGCCGTTAAATTATGAATTTGTCGTCTTTTTTATTGTAGTTCGAAACAAAATTCACACAATTTTTTTACTAATTTAAGAAACCATAAATTAATCTATACAAAAAATTATATTGAATTACAATTTTCTTGGTAAAATAATACCACAAAGCAATTCAGCATTAAACAAAAATACCTAAATATGACTTGTCATTCGTCAGAAGCAGCTCTTTCCTGACTTGTTCCAATTATTTAAGTTGTTTAAGGAAGGAGATCTCTCATCCAACGCCTTTTTAGTCTCCTCATGTTGGGTATGTCAGCTGTGGCCATGTTTCTAATTAATCTATTGTGATGTTCATTTAAATTGGTATGAAATCATGGGTAAAGAGTCGTTATATGTTGGTCAACTGTTGGAAGGTCAGTGTGTAGAGTTTTGTTAGTCATGTACAAAGGTGCTTTTGTTAGGAGTCGCAATAATTTTGATTAGAAGATTTAAAGTTTTTGTAGGTGAGTCTTTGTATCGATAACGTACATTTGTAATGTATTCATCCTTATGGTTTTAAGTATGTATTCAGTTTCTATCCCAGTTTCCTGTATTTCAAGTAATCTTGAAAAGTTAAGTAAGTGAAGTTGTAGAGTTAGTGACGTTTGTGTAGGGTCGTTGTGTTTTGTAAGAATTGCTTTGTTGTCTGCATAAGTAGCTGTCAATATCTCATCGTTAATATGTATATCGTAAGTGTATACAATGCAAAATAGAGGGACGATTAATTCAAAGTTTGCTATTAATTAAAAAAAAAGTATATAGATGGAAACCTGCGCAAAATACTTTTTAATCCATGGGTGAAGAAAGAAACATAATGTTTCTTTTTTAATACTGTTTTGATATCGACGTTTTTTAAATGTTGTTTTGTTGGAAATCTTGAAAGACGTTTTTGATTATTGTGTTATAATAGTAATTATTTCATTGAGAAAAAAAATGTTATTCTCAACTGAAACATATTATAATATTTAATAATAATTATTTTAAATATTTTAAATTAAAGAAGTAAAAAATACCAACCTTAAGACCAAATTAGATACTGAATAACTAGAAACCTTTCAAATTGTCTGTAGAATAAATGTATTGGACCAAATGGAACCCAAGTTTAGTAGCCAATGACATGCCAAGTCTCAGCCTGGCGTGCACTCACCCAATAACTAACTCCAGACTATATATTTATAGCATTTTCATTTACTTATGCGATAGAGTTTACACTGGTCGTCTAATCAGCTGATTGAGTAGCCAACAATTTGATGTCTCTGGCGACACACATCGAATGCCTTTGTCGCGCCAATATTGACTCTCTCCTTATGTCTTCAATCATGATAGTTTTAATTAGGAAAAAAAACTAAAATAAGGTGTATGCTTTAGACCTTACCATAGAAGTAAAAACGTTAACATGGAGAGATTAATAACAGGAAATATAAATTATAAATAATAGCTCATTATAAAGAAGATGAAATGCTAATAGAAATACAATATATGTTAGTAGAGCCATTACTGAACCTTGGTCTACTCCTGACAAGACTAGACGAATAGAAGACATTTTAATAGTCCGGTTCAACGGAGAAAAATCTCTCGAAAAGGAAAGATTGAATAAGGTTTACTTGTGTTCTCACCCGGGACTGATGTACAAACTCCGAAAATTCCTACCATCTAAACACTTTCTCATTATCCGTTCCTACCTTACTGATAGATACTTTAAAGTAAATCACAACAATGTCTATACATCCCGCTTTTCCCAGTCCACTGGTGTTCCTCAAGGTAGTATCCTAGGTCTTATCCTTTACACAGTTTATACAGCTGACATCCCAACCCATCCCAACACTATCATCACCACATATGCTGATGACACATGTATCCTTTTAGTTAATCTATACCCATCTATTGCATCCCTAACCCTTCAATCCCACATCATAAACCTTAAAGAATGGTGTCAGAACTGAAGAATTAAAATAAATTCCAATAAATCCCATCAAATTACCTTCACCCTTCGTCGTAAACCAATGACTTCCAGTCCTTCAGTATCCTTTAACAACACCTCACTTATTCCTGTTGAACAAATCCGTTACCTAGGACTCCATCTGGACAAACGTCTAACTTGGAATCCTCATACCAGACTGAAACGACAAGAAACAGCTCGACGTTTCCGACTACTTCAACACTTACTAGACAAACGCTCTAACCTTCCAATTAATTACAAAAGACTCATTTATATGGCTATAATAAGGCCTATTTGGAATTACGGAGTTGAGCTATGGAGCTCCACCGAAGGTTTGGTTCCAATTCCTCTCGTATCCAATCCTTGCAATCCAAAATCCTTCGTAAAATCCTCAATGCTCCTTACTTTGTTACAAATAAAACCATCCATAACGACC